TCGTAGTCGTAATCGTCGTCGTCGTCGTCGTCGTCGTAGTAGTAGTAGTAGTAGTAGTAGCTGCAGTAAGAATTAATGCCCCAGGAACTCCATCACCCACAATGGCACGGTGATGGCACACGGAATGATGCAGTGCGGCACGACCAGTGATGTCTTTTTGCGTCGGTGGCCCAGTCCCGGACTTTAACCATGCCGCCGAAATTCCCCAAGAGGATTTCATTGGAGCCTTTCGATCGCATGTGTTTGTTTCGTTGGTTCTTACGCTTACGACAGGGGGACTTCAGGCGAGCTTGTTGAGGGTTTGGGGCCTTCAGGGCAGCGTGCAGGGTTAGGGATGTTTTGGACAAGAACTGCCCGCCTCCCCGTCATTCACATTCGGCTGTGTCATGAACAGCCGGCATGTCAGTGCCCGAAACCTGACAACGCACTCCCTAGCCCTCAAGTTTTGATGGTTTTAAATAAAATTACGAGCAGCAATATTGATGCTGTTCTTTCGGTTTATCTGCACCTTAACATTGCTAGCAGCTAGTGTAATTACGGTAGTGATAGTCATGCCGAGTGGTGATGATGATGGTGCTGATGAGGATGATTGCTCGCTTGTGCAGCCAGAGAAGCCTAGCCTTCCTTCAACTCCCACTTTGCTGCCAAAACAGTCTTGTGAAACGAGCCCAGCCGTCTTTCACCTCCTTCTTTGCTGCCAAGATACAGCGGGGTGAAAGGAGAAAAGCATAGACAAAGTCCTTCTTTCACCTCCCAATTTGCTCGCAAAGCAACGGGGTGCACCCAATCTGCTGCCCAAACAGCGGGGTGAAGGATCCCAGCGGGTTGAAGGGAGGAAAGCCTTCTTTCACCTCCATGTTGCTGCGAAAGCAGCGGGAGGGATCGTTGCCAAATCTGTGTAGCAAGTTTTGATGGCTCTGCCAGCCAAATCATTTTCGACCCCCGACTCCTTTGGCCTGAATCTGCGCTTCAAGTTTGGCATATCATCTCGCCAGAGTCCTTGACCTGTGGCCCGAACCTGCTTTTCAAGTTGGTCATGTGTTTCAGATCGCGAAAACCTCTGGCCCGAATCTGAGTTTCAAGTGTGACAAGTGTGTGAGATCGCGAAAATCTTTTGCCCAAATCCGCTTTTCAAGCTTGAGATCGCGAAAACCTGTGGCCCGAATCTGCTTATCAAGTTTGGCATGTGTTCGGCTTCGTGAAAGCCTGTAGCGCGAATCTGCTTTTCAAGTTGGACATGTGTTTCAGATCGCGAAAGCCTCTGGCCCGAATCTGAGTTTCAAGCCTGTGGCCCGAACTTGCGTTTGAGGCCTGACATGTGTTTGAGATCGCGACAATCTGTTGCCCGAATCCGCTTTTCAAGCTTGAGATCGCGAAAACCTCTGGCCCGAATCTGCTCATCAAGTGTGGCATATCCAAACCCAACATGTGCTGGAGATCGTTTCCCCTGGCCCATTGGACTTTTGGACTGTGGACTGAGCCTGCATTCGCTTGCTTGCTTACACTGTATTGTTCATATTTACTATAGTGTACCATAGTTTGCTATGGTATGAATGATATATACGATAATTTATCGTAATGTTCTATACTATATTACGATACACCGCAGTATACTATAATATACTATAAACAAGATAATACAGAATCATATGTTGAAGAATACTATACTATACTATACTATACTATACTATACTATACTATATTATACTATACTATACTATACTATACTATACCATACTATACTATACTATACTATACTATACTATACTATACTTTTCTATACTATACTATAATATCATCAAACATACTTTCCAGAATGTACTAGAATATACGGTGAACAGGGCCCGGCCTGCTCAGCCCCGAAAGCGCGCCAAGGCAAGAACCTCGAGTGGTTGGCCAAGGCCTCCAATTGGGCCAAGTTCAGCGCCACGGCCTCCTTGGGCCAGCGGCTCACCTGGGGGTGGAGAGCTTTGGTGGGTGGAAGTTGTTGTATGGGGGGCTTCTTCCTTCGGGATTGAGTGATGTTGCAGGCGTTTCAGGGTTGAGTTGTCATCATTCATACCCTAAACCCTAAACCCCTAAATAGCCGTTCTGCTTCCCATTTCAAGAAGGCTCCGTTCGGTCGAAAGCAGCATTATTTCTGCGTTCGCCGCTACGGGAGGGCGCTGCCTGGAGAAATCCGGCTCGTGTCGTCTCACATGTGCTGGTGCTCGAGCCGAAGTCAGGACGCTGAGTCTGCTAACTCCTGAACCCTACAGGGCCGAAATTCCCAATGGCATCGTAAATTCCCCGCGAAGGCAGTGAGCTAAATCCTGAACCCTAAACTGCCTGAGTTCCCAATGCCGTCGTGATTTCCCGGCGAAGGCAGTGAACTTTGCATGGGTTCCACTCTCTGCAAAGGTGTCATCCACAAGGGCCACATCAAGGAGTCGAGGCTCGTCCTTCGGACAGTCTACACTACAATGTACGTACTATAATATACTTTAGAGTATACTGTAATCGACAATACTATAATATATTGGGAGTGATCTTGGCTTCAAGGCCTTTGGGGTTTCGGGCACAGGTTTAGGGCACAGAGCATGGACAGCTGGAGGTATTCGTAGCTTGTATTCCGCCTGGCTACATGGACGGGGAGCCCCAGATGCGGGAAGCCAGCCAATCCTTTGATCTCAAGCGAGTGCGAGTCGTTTCAAGTTGTTCTTCTGCGCTGGTTGCTGTTGCTGTTCTTGCTCCTGCTGCTTCTTGTTGTTGTGATTGTCGTTGCTGTCGTTATCCGTCGTCCTTCCGCTAAAGCCCGAGGAGTATGGCCACCCACCAAATTCTTTGACACGCTCTTTCCTGGCAGGTCCATTCTGAGCACATATCTGCCGCAACAGGGAGGCGGGGATCGAGTCCGGGGCTGCAGAGCGGAGTTGATCCCGAAGCCTCGAAACGCAAACCCTTTAGCCCGTATTTCGGGTTTAGGGGTTCAGGTGAGATCTTCGAGGGGTCCTGTGTTGTGCGAAAGGCACGCGGGGCAGCCCGTACTCCGAAGGTGGAGCCCTCTACGGCATGGGCCGAAGCCTGAGCTGTCATGGCCGCGCCGCATATGTATGTCTCTTTTAGGCCCTTCTGCAGCTGCTCCTGCTGCTGCTACTACTGCTGCAGCACCGTGACTACGACGACCATCAACACCTCCTCAGTGGCATTCTTCTTGACGGCGACCACAGTTGCAGTTGTATTCGTAAACATCTACGTAGCAGTCAGGGTGCTGGCAGCTGCGATAGGCACCAATCTGCTATGATTGCATGCTCACGATACACACACACAGATAGATGAATACAAAAGTAAATAAATAAATAAAGCTGTATGTATATAATACACACGAAGTATCTATGAACGCTGAACAGCTGCGGACAGCTTGACACTGTTGCCACGCAACATGTCCTTGACACTGCATGCATGATTTGCTTGAGGCCTGATCCATGCAAATCATTACGATCCAGAGACGAAGGAGCTCCCAGCTAGCCGGGTTTGCTGCCTCGGAGCCTGCATCGTGGGGTTAAGGCTTGGGTTCAGATTGTATTGATTCGGGGTTTCTAAACCCTAAACAAAAAACCCTAAACCCTAAACCTTGAACTCTAAACCTAAACCCTGAACCCGAAACCCAGGGTTTTTAGGGAGGGATTCTGCGGTTTGGGATGCGTCGGAGCCCGCAGCACCGCCAGGGCTATCTCGTGGAACAGCTGCGGAATGCCCAGGCGACAGAGGCACAGTACTGGGAGGGTTTAGGGTTTAGGGTTTAGGGTTTCGGTATTCATAGGCGTTGCAATCGTGGCAAGATTAGATGTAATGCTGGAAAAAGAGACATGTTGGCAATACTGGCGGGAGCATCTGTGCAGACAGTAAGAAAGCATTCATCGCAACAGTCCCTGTAGCCCAGTTGTGAGCAAGTAAGCATGCTACAAACTCATAGTTGCGAATCAGACATATTCTATGGTTCTCGATCAGTGGCACACCGGAGACTTCACCTCAAGTTAGCCCAATCAGCCTGTGTAGAACCTGTTTTGGGGTTGGGCGTAGAATTTAGGGAGTAGTTGCATATAAGGTTCCAACCAGAGATGCCCACTTGAGCTTGAGTCTTCCTGCACTGCGGTCCGAGATGCAAGCAGGTACTCCAGCACGGGGCCTGCCTCGGCATCGGCACAGAGCTCAGCAATGGAGCGCTCAATGAACCGTAGCTGGGGAAAAGTGTCGGGGCGTCTTTCCAATACTGCAGTGTTTGAGCTTGCCTTCGTCGTATCTATGCCAATCTATTCTAAGATTAATAAGGTGCGTAGGGTTATTTCGATGCCTCAGATCTCTTTACAAGCTGGCCTGGTCCTCCAAGTGAGGGATTGGGTTTCCAGCTTGCACTCCGTTCAAGCTTGAAGCATGCAAGACCCCAACTGGCGAGGACTTGGGTCCAGTGCGAGGTTCCAGAGCTTCTGTTGCGGCGACTTCCTTCTGTGGCAACATACATCATGATGATCAGGAAGAAGATGGTGGAGACGATGACCGTGGCGATGAGAGCAAGCAGCCACGTAGACTACAAACGACGGTTCTCCCCACGACCTCGGCTGCCTCGGAGCATCTTCAGGGTTGAAAGTTTCAGAACCCCCAAACCCCTAAACCCTAAACCCAAAACCCTAAACCCTAAACCCTAAAACTGGCCCGAGAACCTAACAAGTTCTTACACAGATCCAAACTTCGCAGGAAGATCTCCGTCTGAAAGACCCTTGGAAGCTTTCCCCGCCCGCCCAAAGAAGTGCAGGTCTTTTGTGTATGGCGACTGCGGACGAAAGTATCTACGATGAGCTGACCCAGACGCTGCCTTGCACTCAGCGTCCTGTCCGTCTCGGCTCTTCAGAGATTTCGATCATGGGACTGTCGGTGCCGCATGCAGCGCAGGGACTCCAAAGCGAGCAACCTTCGGAACGGCCACAGACATTTTTTCACTGGGGCCAGCTCTGATCTAGGATTTGCTCTGATTTGCCCGGGAGTTTCAAACAAAACCGGCGCCCTGAAAACGCAATCCCGGGTCCAGGATCCTGGTCTGCAAGCTCCGGCACTTTGCCCTAAGCCCCTACTTCCCAAAACTCAGACGGGGCCCCTGAAAGCACAGGACCCGCAAACCCGATGCCCTTTGTGCCCTTAAGGCCCCTAAACCCCAAAGCCCTAAAAATCCCCACACCCCGGTATCACCCTTACAGCACACTTTGTAGAAGCCTGAAGGGAACATCTCGGCCCAAATCGCCCTGAAAACAAAAAGCCCTTACACTTCTTGCCGAAAAATCCTTTATCCAAGGTACACCATATAGACCAAGAGGATGCCATTTGGAACCTGTTTGGGGTCCCCCTTATAGGCATCCTTACAGAAACCAGTAAAGCCCAGGTACACGGACACTGCTGTCGCGGGTGAGGCAGCGGCTTATGCCATCGGACTCGTCATGGTGGTGCACCTGGCAATTTTTTTGGTGGGGGTTGTGCAGAAGGGGGTTGTTGGGGGGAGGAGTGGGGTGGGGATGTAGGCACAGACAAGGAGACTAAAGCTGTCTGCTGGGAATGCTTGCACGGATCGCGATCTTGAACGACGAATGCTCCGTCACTTTGCACATTTCTCAGACTGACTTAGGTCGGTTCTGCGTCGCAGAAAGCAATCGACGAGCTTTGCCCTTATGGCGTATGGGCACTTGCTTTGATTTCAGGTCGTGGGAGTCGACTTTCACCTAAGACAAACCGCAGAGCTTACAGTCGAGCAGTGGCAGTGGCCCCCCCAAAACCCCCGAGAACTGGGCTTTGGGAATCCGGGCTCCCTCGCAGCTCAGCTCGAACTTTGTCCGTTGCGTCGCCGCTCTGGCTCGAATCTTGGGAGGTTCTTACGTTCTAGGCCTATCCGCTGCGTCCGAGCCCATGGAGCTGGGGAGGCGGCGGACCTTCGTAAACTTCCTAGTGGCAGGGTGCCAAGCTTCCAGGGTTCTCTAAACCCTAAACCCTAAAGCCTAAACCCTGAACCCTGAACCCTGAACCCTAAACCCAGAAGCCCTAAACCCCGAACCCTAAACCCTAAACCTATCAGAAAGGTCATAATCCATTTCTCACGTGGTTCAGATGCTACGGAAAAGGAAGAGCAGAGCGAAAGCATGACCTGGCCTGCAGTGTAGTCGTAGGCGTACCATAGATGTTGAGACAAGGAAGGTAGGCAGGTAGGTAGGTAGGGTTGAGGGTTTAGGGTTTAGGGGTTTAGGGTAGGTAGGTAGGTAGGTAGGTAGGTAGGTAGGTCGGTGGGTAGGTAGGTAGGTAGGTAGGTAGGTAGGTAGGTAGGTAGGTAGGTAGGTAGGTAGACAGGTAGAGGTTTTGAAGTGACGCACTGGCACTTGTGTGTCTGCTGGCATGCTGGTACGTGTGGGTGGATACTATCAAGCAGATGCTATCAAGCATGCGAAAGACGACAAAACGAAAGCATGGCAGGAAGATCTCCGTGTATTCGTGCATGCATATATTCACCTCTACTGAAACACACTACCTCCAAGCCCTAAGCCCTAGATCCCCTTGAGATCCCTTTGCCCAAGGTGTTCCTCTTCGCTGCTCCACCCGCAGCTGCACTGCGACCTGGGAATGGACAGCCCTTCGGACCGCATCGGGGGATTTTGGAGGAAGAGGGTTGAGTCTTTCGGGGTTTGGGTTTGCGTGGCCCTGTGTCTCCGGGGGGCATGGGTTGGGAAGCTCCCCCCAGGCTTTCTGATCTTGTTAATGATCGGTCAGTTTGGAAGCATGAGCGCATAGCTGCGGTGGTCGCGTAGTATACTCCTGGACATCCGTCCCTTGACGCCTACTTTGCGCATGAAAGATGAGTGGCAGCCACAGCATGTGAGGATGGGTCGACGCTTCTCCATACCAGAATGATACCAAACTCAAACGGCATGGCCTTGATGTCTGTGGCCCGGTTTCCAGGCCCTGCGCAGATTCGGCTGTGAAGGGCCTCTCAGAGGCCCGCTGCGAGTGAGCGGATGCTGTGCAGCTTCGTTGTGTGGGGGCCCAGGGCATCTTGAGGGTAATACATGGTAGTACTGTAATGCTTGTGGGGATTGTTGCGGGCTTCTGGTCGAGGAAGTGCCGGAGGTTTGGACGAGTTCCTGACTTGGGATCTGACTTTTGAACCCCTGCAAGATTCTGGCTACTGTCTGAGTCTACCAGGTTACAAAACTATATTCATACTCCATATAGCTACTCTATTCATACTCTATGAGAAGGAATCCAAACCGGAAAATCACGAGCCCAGACTCTGGACCCCCACAGGTTCGCTGCCTCCCGGAGCCACGAAACCTCAACACACAACTTCCCGATCGGTGGGCCTTGAACCGAAAGTCAAACTAGTGTAGAAGCTTAAAAAAATTACCAATATCCTTCATTCCTTCGGGTTCCTCATACAGTTATAGTCGTTTTCGTTATGCTATAAGAGCCCCCCCAAAACCCAAAACCCTATTCTAATTACTTAGGCCCCTAAATGACGGCCCCCAAACCTTGAGCTCTGGGCCCTCACCTTGCAGGCAGATGCTGCAAAGCGCTTCTTCATGCTGGCCGAGCTGGTGGATGTCTCCGGTCGGGCCCTGAGGCGTTAGAGAAAGCACCAGCGAAGGCAGACACAAACGGCTACAGCTTTAGGAAGTTTGCATGTTGTTGCAGTTTCGTATGTACATGCGCCAGCAAGCATACATATACACCCTATCTACATACTGGTAGCTTCTGATGCAGGGTCTGGGGAGCCCTCTGAATGCCTTTGAGAGCGAGCTCTGAGGTGTCACTTGCCTCGACAGGCTGCGGAATCTCCAAGCTTCCACGGACAGCCAGGGCTTCATGCCCATACCTCGGTTTTTGCGGGGTTTCGGGACCCCCGGTCACCAAGGCTAAGCCCAAAAGTCCTGAAGTCCGAGGCCTGACGGGGCCTGGACCAGCTGCCTGAAGAAGGCGAGGCTTCGACACTGTTGATGATATAAATCCTGCTGCATTTCCTTAAGGGACCCTAAGCTATGGGAATTAGGGTATCTTCCTTATGATGGGTAAGGCAGGATTTATATCATCGACCGTATCACCCGCATAGGAGAACCAAGAAGTTGAAGAGATCAGGGCTGGACCTGCAAGCCTGGAAGCTCCTGACACCCTGGTAGGATCATGAAGGCCTGGCCCTTTATGGCTTTTCCGGTTCGAAGCTGTCGTATGCTGGTTCGTGTCTGGCATGGATACCCTTGCAGGCCGTGGACTACGAGGTATGGAACAAGGCGCGGAGTGTTCTTCCCGCCTGAAAAATCAAACCCCAAGCCCGAGCTCAAGAGCCTGAACCAATGGAACCAACAGCCCGAAAGACGTTTTTGCAACATTGCCCGCAGTGTGCGACATGTCAACAGGCACGTTGCCGGATTCGGGGCCTTTGATTTGAAGTTAAAGCCTAAACCCTATACCCTAAACAAGAGCGCATGGCAGCCTTAAAAATACCCTAAACAATAGAGGCCGTGAAACTTTTCAGCCTAATCCAAAAATCCTGACTCCCCCGAGCCCGAAATCCCCTGGGCCGCTCCAGTACCCTTAATAATGCCTCCGTAGAGCCCGGAAAAACTCTAGAAGCCCCTAAATGAAAGGCCCTGGTAAACTCTTAACGCCCTAAACCCTAAAAGCCGAAACGACAAGGCATCCTACGGTTGATTAGCTTAGGGTCGTGAAGGTAATGCAGGATTTATATCATCAACAACCCTAAACCCTAAACCCTGAACCCTAAACCCTAAACCCTAAACCCTAAACCCTAAAACCCTAAACCCTAAAACCTAAAATCCTAACTCCCCCTTTTTTAAGGCCGGCCCAGGACTGGATACGCCAGGCCCGGTTTCATCGAAGCAGCAAGCCGGGAGAGGAGATTCAGGGGCCTGCAGGCTCGATCCTGACTGGTCTAGGGTTCCATGGTTTTTTGGGGGCTTCGGAAAGGTTTAGGGTTTAAGTTGTTCGGGGTTCTCATCGTTTTGGGGTTCTTTTTTTTGGGCTCTGATTGTTTTTGGGTTTGAGTTTTCCGGGGTTCTGATTGGTTTAGAGTTTAGTATTTTTTGGGTTCTGATAAATTTTAGGGTTTAAGTTTTGGGGGGTTCTGATTGGTTTGGGCTCTGATAGGTTTAGGATTGGATTGGAGGTCTTTGGGGATTCTGACGGGGTTGAGCCCCTGGCCTCAGAATGGTATCTACTATCAGAGGCCACCTGATAGCTGAGACGATGAGAAGCGAGACAGAAGCCGAATGCAGTGCAATGCACAACGGATTTTAGACGGGTTAGAGTTTAGGGTTTAGAGTTTGAAGATAGAGCAGAACGTGGTAAATCAAATTGGTGGTAGCGACAGAGCAGCATCGGAATCCGGAACGAATTCTGGGGCTTACCGTGGCGAGCCTCTGCTAGGAGCTAACTCCCCAAGCTGGCATCCATGGAATTAATTATCCGAAGCTTAAAGGGTTCCTACATCATATAAGGTCTTCAAGAGTCGATAATCTCGTGCCTCCATTGAACCCTGTGTGGCTTTTGTACTATGCACCCCCACATGTCCGTTGTCGATGTACGGCGCTCTATTAGTTCTGTTACATCAGGCTGCATGGCT